TAATGATATCATAAAGCATAAAGGTATTACTAGTTTATATACAACCAATAAAATATAATTCTCAGTGACAGGAAATATTGCTATTTTTTTTTGGGCAGCTTGACGTATGAAATATTTTGGGAAAAAAAATAATCAAACAAAAATGCTGTTATCTACAATATACATGGGAAGCTTGGACAAATGATCACCCAAGTCCTTTAACCTTAGAGCTTACTTTGTAGGAAAGTAAAAAGAGATTGGACAGTCAAATGGTATAAGTTAAAATCAGCTGTGTCTCCCATGAGGTTGTGTCCTGATTCCAGAAAACTTGAGATAGGTCCAGTACCATTTAACAAAATAAATCCTCAGATTTGGTGACCAACTGGATATCAACAATGTCAATGATTTTCAAATACCGACTTGGTGAAACACAAAAAGTTTTTAGGAGTCTTAGAGGTTACAATGGGGAAGCACAGATTCAAGTATAACAGGAAAAGTGTTCTACGGAGTTGAACAGAAGTGAATTTTGCAGTCAGGGAATACCCAAAGACAGCATCAACAAAAAAAATAAAGCAGACTAGTCATTTGGAAGTTATTTTCCTTCAGAAAGTTTAAGGTAAAGGAAACTTCTTATACTTTTTCAGGAAGATTGGAATCTCCTATTTTCACCAAGAATTAGTTTGTTTTCGGATCTATCTATTTTCTCAAAGTTTCAGTTTATGACATGGCATTTTAGAATACGTATTGTTAGTCATACCTGGTGCAGAAACCCATTCAAAAACAATGGCCTCAGGGCCAGCAGGTGGCATAGTGGTTAAGGCACTATACTCCCACATGGTCCACTGAGGTTTGAGGGGATTTGGTGGCTTGAAAGTCATGCCAGGCAAGTGTACATATTTGCTTCAAATCCCAAGCAAATGGAAAAGAGTTTGCAGCATGGCCAATCCTCCCGGAGGGTGGAGGTGGTATAATTTCTCATTTCCCTCTTTCTGTCTCTGTGTCCTTGGCTAGCATGTGTGCTCTACAGCAAAAATCTCTCAAAAAACAAACAAGCAAACCAATGAAAACAATGGCCTCCTATAATTTCTATTTAGCAGAAGTGAGGAAGTATGAGGATTAAAGGATAATGGAATAAAGGGATAAAATTCCTAGAACTTGATGTCTTTGAGGAACATTTTGTTGCTCTTGGTGCTTGGGAGTAACAGTAATGTAGATCAGAACTTTCAAGTCATTGGTGGACATAAAGGTAATGACTGAAGCCATGTGGAGTAGATGAAATTCCTAAAAAAGGATGAAATATGAAGAGGAGTTTAGGTGGAAATAATGTAGAGAGAGAATCATCACTGTTCTAGGGCCTGGTAGTTTAAGAGGGGCTCACTGTAGGGTTCATGACTGCATTTCTATGATGTAGAAAGAAAGCAAGTAAGAAAATGAGGAAATCCTAGTCTCTAAGAGATGAGTGGTTTTGAAGGATGAAATGCTTATCAGTAAATTCAGATGTTTCCTAGAGATCAGACCAGAATGGAAAGCAAACACAGGATTTAGCAACAAGGAAGGTTTGGGGTCTTTATTGGCAATAGTCTTATGCATAACTGATAAAAGCAGACTACAAAGTTGAAATCTCATGCTCCTTTTACATCTCCGTCTTCCTTTCAGAAGGCCCTAATCTGTCCTTTCATTTTACAGATTAGAAAACTGGCAATTAGAGAAATTTAATCAATTGCTCTAGGCAAGGGCTGGCAAGCCAGGGTTGAGGGCAAAAACTAGCTCACTGTGGATTTGCATATCTGAAATATAGAAATGATCTTTCATTTGTAAATGGTTATATTTAAATAACTGTGTAAATACCTATGTAATTCCTTTGATTTCGCTTTCTACCCACAAAACCTAAGTATTTGTCACTGACTGTTTTTAAGTAAAGGTTGCTCACCTCTGGGCCATATTTCTGAGAGTAACAAAGACAAGATAGAGGGCCTCTAGCTTTCCCTTTCCCTTTAAAACTGAGCCCCTCAAGAGAATGAACCAACAATTCTTCTCTAACAAACAAAACAAAATAACCTCTGAGAATGAGGTGCATATTGATGCAAAGTATCATTAAATATCAAAGGAAGCAAATGTGCATGCAGCCTGATAACAGAAGTTTAGAAAGCTTCTTAGAATCATTAGGGGATGGTCTTCAACGGTTTTGTACAGTTGTAGAATCAATGAAATGCTTTAAATCAAATAAGTTACCTAGATGATGACATCTTTCTGGCTGAAATATTATTTTATCTGACTTACAGATGTAGGCAGGAGATTTAAATCTAATTTCGATAATTTAAATGCAAAATAGTTTTTATCTTCAGGGATCGGCGAAGGAAAGTAAGGGTTTTGATATTATTCAATATATAAAATACTTCAAGATTTATTTCAGTTTAAAAATGTGCCTGATGATTCATCCATTTCTTCATTTGTAACGTTGGTAGAATTTAAATAGATATCAAAAGTCATTAAATTATTCTCTTTGGGGAGATATTTAATATGTTGAGACAATTAATGAATAATGAATCCCATTCCTTTCCTTTTTTTTTTCACACAATAAAAAAAGAGGTCATAGGAAAGGGAACATTTAATCCCCGAGGAATAGACACTAATCTTGGCTTCTCTTTAAGCCGTCGCATCCCGGTAAACGAGTTACTGTCATTGAATCTGTGACTTTAATTGTAAATAAATTAGGGAATTGGGGAGAAGTGGGAAGGACTGGTCAGTGAAAGACTGATTAATTAATTTTGTATGTTTCTTATCACTATCAGATGAAATTATTTGTTAAAGTATACTACAACAGGAGATTAACCATATCTAAGAGGAATAAGATAAATGGTCCCTTGGGGCCCAGTGGCTTGAGAATCACACCAGGCACTGTGCTTGCTTGCCCCAAATCCCTAGATTTGGCCATCCCTCTAGATGGTGATTTCTCACTTTCCCACTCTCTGTATCTGTCTCTCTCCCTCTGCTGAGAACAAGCACCCTATTGCAAAATAGCCTACCAAAAATATTAGAAATTTAAAAAACAGTGATGAGCAGGGTCCATAGCCTCATGAGTCAAATTCCACATGGCCAACCTCGGACTGCTGTGGTGACTTGAAATCCATGCAGGCTGTGAGTGTGTGTGTGAGCCCCCAAGCCCAGAGAGGACAAAGAAAATGGAGGAGAAGAACTGCAGTGAGTTTGTACCCCATGGAGTGGGTGTATGTGTACTTTCTCTCTCTCTCTCTCTTAGACTAATGAATGTGCCCTCTTGCAATTAAAAAAATGAAATAAAAAACAGGGAAATATGTCATGATAAATAGTCAAACTGAAAGACTGATTAAAAATTTTTATAACAAGTAAAATTTTAAATATTTTCCCTTATACAGATAGAGTATAAAAACAAGCTGTACAAAGGATAACTTTCTTTCTCTTATTTTGCAAGCAAAATGCAATGGCAATTTCTTAAATAAAATGAAATTAAGGCTGAAAAATGTCAAAACCTTAATTCTGCTCAAAAGTAAGTGACAACAACAAAGATACTGTTATGGAGCATGAAAAAATACTGCAAATTTGGCTCAGTACACAGATGGGAAGTTTGATGGAACAGCATATTACATTAGTCCATGCAACAGTCTGCTGTTTACATCCTCCACAAAATTCATATGCTGGTGGTATCAGTAAGTGAGGCCCCAAGGAGATGATTAGGACATCAAGGTTGAGCTCTCGTTGTTGGGGTTACTCTTATAAAAAAGACTCCAGACAGCTTAATCTCTCCTTCCGCCAGCTGAAAACATGGCAAGACAGAACTTTAATCCACTAGAAAGCAGACCTTGACCAGACTCTGACTCTGCCTTGATCCTGGATTCCCCACCCCCTAGAGCTGTGAGAAATAGCGCTGTTATTTATAAACTCCCCATTTGATGACATTTTGTTATAGCAGCCTGAGTGGTCAGCGTGCTATGTCTAGTATAATGTAATAATATAATAATATTCATGTAATAGGAATTCGTTCTGAAAGGCAGACTGCACAAAATAACAGAAGTGAAGAAAACAGGCAACTGAATTAAAGAATAAGAGAATTTAATTGTGTTCTATTAGATAATAAGAAAATAGATATCTGGCTGAAAACATACATTTGTTTCTTTACTTTTTACATTTAAACTATCTTTGACTATAAATGTATATTGCAAATAAATGTAATATGCTGTTTATACACTTGGAAGATCATCAAAGAGATTTAAGGAAGCAAATCAAATAGCTTTAGGGTTATCATAATTAGGGCCCAAACATGGATCAAAGAAAGAAAAGACAGTAAACGGAACTTCATGTCGTTAGTCATGTGTAACAAAAATACAATTTGGGTATGAATTTTAGAGTGTGACCAGACTACATGGAGGGAGTTGGATGGTAGGGGAAACATACTCTCCTAAGAAAGTATCAGGTAAAGAGAAGGATAAATTATTGAATATGAATTTATTGATAAACCTTCTTTAAATCCAAAAAGAAAACAAAAAATCTTAGGAAGTTGTGTAAGTGAATTTATTCAAGTTGTGCATTTGAAGACTTACAGGATACTGCATGCCTTTCATTTCTCTCACTGACCATTTTGCCATTTCCATAAAAGTATATCAAGATTTGTAATATTTTGCCTGTTGTATTATTGCAAAAGAATTTCTAGATGAGATTCAGGAATCCATATTCTTTAGAGATATCCAAGAAAGTTGAGACACCTAAGACAAGACAGTAAAAGAACTTAAAAAAAAAACCAAAACATTATAACACTCTCTTATCTAGCACTTCCTCATTTATTTATTTATTTATTTATTTATTTTTTATTTATTTATTTATTTATTTATTTATTTATTTAGAGAGATTTTTTGCTCTAGGGCATGTGCACTAGCTGGAGAGACAGAGACAGAAAGCATGAAATCCTCCCGCAGCGGGGATGGCCACACTGCAATCCCTTCTCCTCTTTTCTCCTCTCAGGATCTTGGGCATGCACACACACATACCTGGAGTGAGTTTTAAGTTGCTGGGTCTGGGACTCTGGTGGTGAACTATGGAGGAATCCAGCGATGTTAACCGTTATGCCATCTGCTGGTCCCATTATCTAGCACTTGGAAATCAAGTGAATTTTAACCAGACATTTTGATGATAGCAAGTGCAGTGTAAACTCTTACACACATAGGAGAAGCTAGTTCACACATTTCCCATGGGTCACTTTGCTTGATGAAGACTTACGTGAAGGAAATTAGACTGTAATTCTTGGCCATGAATTTCTGTTACACAACTTTGTCTGGAAGTCTGACACGTCTCATGGATATGATTTACGTAGATAAAAAGAAAATGGTGTAATCCATTTTTAATTTAGTCTGAATAGAAGTAAAATTGTTCCACATTTACAAGTTTTATACATTTCTGCTTGAGGAGAAATAGACACGGCTTCATTACCTTACCTACCACTTGACAGAAACGGTTTTTGAACTCTGGAAAGTTTACATATATTTCGGTTTCTGATATCTAACACTGTGGAAAAATATGGTCAATAATCTTAGGATTTTTTTAATGTCTCTAATGGTTTCAGAAGAGACTGATTTAATGACTTCCCTTTAAATTACAGAAGACCTTATAAAATATCTTCTAAGAAAATTGGCCATTGGTCAGTCTCTCTTTTTCAAATGGCTTTGAGAGTAAACTCTCCTCTTCTTTTATTATAATAACACTTCTTCACAGTTAATGATACACTTTGGTGTGGTGATGAAGAACTTCATGCTATGATTTCTAGATCAAACCTGAGAAGATGATTTGTGTAGGTCTTGCTTCCAATAAAGTTGAACACTTTCTGAGCAGTGGATAAATTTCCTTCAGAAAGCTTGGCAGAGTCTTTGGTACCAAAGCATGAAATAGAGAAATAATGAAGTATGAATCTTCTTTCCTAACCAAAGGAGAAAAGTCAGATATTTTATAGGGGCTGATCTTCACAGAGTACTGAGATGTTTCTTCCAGTCAAATTTGGCTGCTAAAATAAAAATAAGAAAATAAATTGTAATTTGACTAGGTTAATAATCTTTGAAATTAAAAAAAAAAGGAGCACTTAAAATAGGCAGGTTTTGGGTATGTCATCGGCAGCACCTTATGGTCTAAACCCTGGAAGTAACTGGTTTAAGAGAGATCATTGGCTCCATATTATCACCTCATGCAAGAAAATGGCCGAGTTGCAACTTTCTTAATAACTAGCTTTAAAGCTGTACAAAACAGCTCCAGAGATAACTCAAGGAGATGATATTATACAAAGACATAGCTGCTTCTTTGGTTTTTCCTTTGTTTAAAACTAGGAATAAATTAAATTTTTCCAGGATACATAATTAAGATCAGTTTTTTTTTTCTTTTGATAATAGAATAAACCACGTAATGATGAGGATGCTTTTGTCTTCAAATAAATGATGGTTTAAAATTTGAGGCAGTTTAAATCAAGACTTCTTGTTCAAAATTTCATATCAAGACATAGATGTAAAATGGTTGTTCTTTTTAAATTTTCTGTTCTTTTTTTTTGTATCTATGCCTCACTGACAAGAAGCTTGACATCCACAGACATTTATAAAAATAAGAAAAATGGAAAAATAAGGAACAAAATGTATAAAATGTTTTCCTACTTGAAGATAATAAATAGGTCTTATGCTAATGTAATAGTCCTTATATTCTTCACAGTGCAGTTAAAAACATAAGCAATTTAATACATAGTAAAAATAGAACTATGAACAAAAGTGCATGACATAATGTAATATTCAAGGTTGAAGAAGATACATATGTGTATGTGCTGGACTTTGTTATCTATTATACACTGTGTGCAAACCTTAAAACCATACTGTAGCCCACAAAAAATATGCACTTATTATATGTAAATCAGAAACCATGATTAAGAATATATGAAATTCTAATTGCATGTCAAAAAAAAAGAAAATTAGTTTTTATATGAAATAAATGAGCTGAAATCCTCTTAAAAGAAAGAGATGATCAGACTGAGCCAAAAAACAAACCCAGCTATATGTTACGTACAAGAAGTACACTGAGGAAAAACAAAAATAAAAACACCTAGAAGTAATTGCTAGAGTTACTATGACTAAAAAAAATAAAACAAACAACAACAAAAAAACACTTATCGTGAGAGACAGAGAGATAGGCACTTGGAACAGGCCCAGAACACTGTCATCCACCCCCAGCTCAGCCAGTCTGCAACAGACATGTGACCTGAGCCCTAGGTGGACAGGAAGGCCTCAAGACATGAACCTGGGACCTGCCCATATAATCCAATTGTGTTCCCACCACTTTCTGGTTCCAAGCTTTTACATACATTGATTAAGGAAAAGCTAATAGCACAAAGTTTTGTTTTATTTTCCTTCTCCAGTTGTAATTCTTTTCGTAATGTTGATTTAGTGTTTCCTCACTGAAGCTAGGTTAGGATATTTCTCAAAGCTAATTCTTAGCAAGCTCAAACTTTTTCAAGTAGTACACAGTGCATGTTTTTCACCAAGTAGACAGTCAGGCATTTGCATGGAGTATTGCAATTATTCTCAATAACATAATTTTATATAAAATTTAAAGCCAGTTTTCTTAAAGTGACAGAAAAAATGTAGGGCAAATTGTCAAAAAAGGCAATTTTGAACAACCATCATGGGACAAAGCAAGTCCTATGGTACTTGCTGATATTTTAAATTGGATTTTCTATGTATACATACTTTTTTTTTTTAGAGAGATTTTTGTTGTAGGTCATGTGTGTTTGCCAGAGAAACAGAAAGAGACAGAGAGACAGAAAGTGAGAAATCATCCCCCAGGGGGAGATGGCCACACTGCAATCCCTTCTCCTCCATTCTTCCCTCGGGATCTTGGGCATGCATGCATACGTGCCCGATGTGAGTTTGACACTGCCATGTCTGGGACTCAAAATGTGGTTGAGTACATGGGAGTCCAGTGACATAACCATTACTCCATCAATTGGTCCCATTCTATGTATATTTTCCTGTAGAGTTTGATCATTTTTAATTTTCTTTTTCTTCATTCATGATAGAGTGCATGTGCATGAGAGAGAGAGACGAAGCAAATGGAAACGAATCCCCCCGCAGGGCCTGGTCCTGCCACCAGCCTTCTTTCTCAAGTTCCGCATCCCGCCAGGATCCTGCGCACACATATGAGCATTGCCATGAAGGCAAAGATTCAAAGCTCTGTTCGTCTTGTGCCTTCCTTTGCACGAGATTTACCTGCCACACCACTAAGTGAAAACTTCTGAATAAGAGGACTTCAGTAGAACTTTTTCTGTCTTCCCTTTTTCTTTTCCTCATTGACAGAGAGCACATGCACTCACTAGAGAGCAGAGAGAGAGAGAGAAAGCACACATGGGCTGTGGACATGCTGCCATCCTTTTTGCATTTCTTCATTTCGTCAAGATTTGGGCAAAAATGTATATATGTCTGGCATGTTTTTCAAGCTACTTGGAGCCAGATTCCAGACAGCAGTTTACTCTGTGGGATCTAGATCCCTATGCACTGGGCTTCGTGACTGCACTATGTGGACAACTCTAGAATATTCTTTAAATTGGGGATATTTTATTTTCTTTCTGTGGGAAAATAGTTCTGTTTTTAGCATAGAGTAAGAATTCACAATATAATTGAAATTTTATCTATGCATATGAAAAACTTATGTTCAAGACCCAGTTTTCTATGTTTTTGAAAATGTAATACATCATCAATAATGTTTAAATTTTTTAAATTATCAGAGGGTGCATATACTCACCAAAGGAGGCAGACAGAGAGACAAAGACAAAGAGAGGGACGAAGCACCCCTCTAGTGGGGTGTGGCCACAATACGTTATATCTTCTTCCATTTCTCAATTCTGTTGTAGTTTAGGGCACTCACGCTCATGTGCCAAACTACTGCGCTGGGGTTAAAACTTGGTTGGCCATATGGGATCCAGCTCCTTTAATCACTAGGCTATGAGGCTAGTCCCCAATTTTTTTTAAAAAAGAATTATTTATTTAATTTTATTTTTTCATTCACTTATTTTAATCTCAGGGAGAGATACACTTAGAGAGAGAGAGAGAAAGAGGAAAAGTGAGAAAGCAAGTCACCAGGTCCAAGACTCGAAGCATGGTTGGCCGTGTGGGAGTGTCTAGCACTTTAACCACCATGCCACCTGCTGGTCCTCCCACATTTTTAAACATTAAATACTCTGAGATCATTTTAGTCCTTTGGAAAATTTGCAGAGTTAACACGGAGAGTTTCCTTATACCCTCACCATCTTGCCCTTATGATAACAACTTAATATAACCATGGACAATTTATCAAATCTAGGAAATTAATCTTGGCGTAATAGTATTAACTGAAGCCTAGAATTTGTTCCAGTTTCATTGGTTTCTCCACTAATACATCTTTTCTGTTCCAGGATCCAATTCAAGATTCCACATTTGATTGTCATGCCTCATTAGTCTTCTGCAATCTCTGACAACCTTACCCTTCTTTCACAATTCTGACACTTTTGAAGAGTACAGGTCAGTCATTTTGCTCCTTATTTTGAATTTGTTTGATATTTTGTAACATTTAGACTAAAGATATGTATTTTGGGGCAGGAAATACAGAGGTGAAGTGCCTTTATCACAAGATCCTATCAGAAGTATATAATGTTGAATGCAGTGATGTTATACTTGAACTTTGGACTAAAGTTGTGTCTTCCAGAATTCTTAGCTATAAATCTACTTAGTTTTCCTTGGACATTACTAAAATTTTGGAAGAGATAGTATGGGAGTATGTAATATCTTTTTTCTTCTTAAACTCCCTGTAGACTTTATAAAACTCTCTGTAAACTAGAGTGTGATCAAAGTTAGAAATTCAAGATGGTATGCCATTTCCAGTAAATTTTGGCTAAAATGGAAAGCAAAATATAGATTTAGTAACTTAAACAAAGAATTTGCTTTTATTTATATGGGAGGGGAAATTAGACTGAAATGTCATCTTTAAAACAAATGTTTACTGTCAACATAAACCACACCACACCTGAGCTATATCTACATAGATCAAACTTTTAGAATGAAAAGTTTTGAAAAGGGAGTAAGACTAAACTTGTTGATATAGTTAAAAAAAAAAGAGAATTAACCAAAAGTTTTCAAATCTGGGGCAAAGTTTTGCATATGCACCCACCCTGCATATATAAATAAAACGATATTATATTCCTTGAAATCTCCATATAGAAAATAGTTTGCTATACTTATATATTCTGTGCTGGATCTTGTGCTGTTACTTCACTTCTGACTTGATCTCTTGAGTAGATAATTGATAAAAAGCATATTAGAATAAAGTAGAAGGCTCTATGGTTTATGTGAGTAATTGGATAAATCACATGTTATTCCATTAATACAAGGATAACAAGCAAAGTGAATAAGAAAGATAATAAATTCTGTTTTGAATATGTAAAATTTAATACCCATACTAATGTGTCCAATCTGAAATTCATTAAAAAATTGGGCTGAATGTGGACAATGGTAACACAACTCTTCATGAGGCTAATTGAAATGGGCAGGTTCTACGCTGGTGTCTGGAGAGCTCACTGAACTGTGTGTGCCCACAGTGAGCGACTGGCCCTGACTAGACATGAATCCAGGTGACATAGAGGATAGAGAGTGTCTGTCACTCTGTGTCAGTCTCTATTTTTTTCCCTCTTGGTCATGAAAAGAATAGAAGGAAAAATAGTTTTTAAATATAGATATGTCTAAAGTTTAATAGAAAGTTCAAGGATGCATATATTCTCCTTTTCTTGTTGGTTTATAAATATCATATTTATTTATTTCTATCTTGATGGAATCTGAGAATTATATTTAACAATGTTTTCTCTCTTTCTGATCAGTTATACACCATTCCAATGTTCATAAATAGTGTAGCTTTGTTTTCAGACAGTCTTCTACATTAGTCATAAGGTCGACTTAGTCTTTTTTAGCATGAAGTGTGATATATTGTATTTTTAAGACAAAGTCA